AACTGCTAAAACATCTAATAAGAGATAAAATCATATTAAATATTTGACAATTTAAGATAAAAAAGTGCATCAAACCTCTTTCATTTTAGTAACTTTTGTGGAACGGGTTATCGTCTGCGGTATTTTCGGACCTAAAAAAACAAATTATACAAATTATATAATAATTACTAAACTTAAAAAAAAAAGAATTGGTCTCAAACCTATATTTTCTTAATTCTCAGAAGCAGTAACAATACCGTTAACTCAACATCACAATATCCATTTCTTAAAAAGTTAAGAATTTCTGACATCAAATAAACTTTTTAATGTTAATATGATGACGACATATTAAATATATCACGATATATAATTGCTGACAACTAAGCATTGACGCTTTTATATTGTTATCGCTTTATATTGTGTCTACGATGAATAGTACATAAGAAATGCGCGTATTGAATTCAACCACAAAAGAAGAAAGCTTAGCATTCATTTTAATGGCATATCTTGTGGTAGGGGGAAATAATAAATCTGATTGTTATAGATCAGAGTATAATAATAATAATAACCCCACACATCTCACACACGGCCGTCTGATCCCAAACTCGGCAGAGGCTGTGCTAGTAACCAGACTGTTGATAAACATACTTATATATTTCTAAATACATACATATTATAGATAAATTACACCCAGACACAGAACAAACGATCGTGTTCATCACACAAATATGTGTCCTGGGTGGGAATCGATCCACGACCTCACCAGTCAGGGCGGCTTAGCAGTCAGGGTCACTAACCACTAGACCGAATAGGCCATTTAAAAAACTATTTAGTGGTTTTTTTTTAATCTACGACTAATCTGCTTTTTCTAATTATTTCTTGCAATATTTGTAACCGTACAAGAACAAAAATACTATCTCTAGTATCGTAGTTATTTCTTCCCTCTTTATAATCGATTCTGTTTTTAAATAAAAGTTGTGATTTAGTATTTTCATTAAAACATTAAAAATGTCTTTCATAAATTAATACACAAAATTCAAAAAGGAGTACGTAAACTAAACTGTTGCTTGAAAAGAAAAAATGGTTTATGTGTTACTTAATTATTTTACTACTAAATTCATTCAAGTCATTTATGGTGCTGTTTTCCGACTTCACAAATTAAAAATTAATATATGCGGTGACGATGAGGTGGAGGACTTCTGTACCTGCATGGAGAGAATGAGGACAAAACCTAGAAAATGGAATCCCGAGGTACCAAATATACCTCATATGACCCCGGGATTACTATTTATGATGAAAGTGTTTCAACAAGATCAGAAACCGTTCCCTTTCAATTCCTTGGAAGAAAGAAAGACTACAAAGATCGTACTCCATCTATGAACGCAATGGTAAAAACTTCGTAAAAAGACATTCAACAAAACAGACAGTCAATAAGTAACGTAAAAAAAGCTTGGATTTACGACCACTACTTAACATCACGTCTCAACTGGCCGTTTTTGGTATACGATATAAACCAGAACCACTTAAAAATACTGCACGCGAAAGTCACTAAAACATTAAAGTCGAGTCTCGGGTTAGAACCATCTGCATACCCGTCAACATTGTATAGGGATTCGAATAACTTTGTAATAAAATAAAAAAGACCTTCGAAACTCTACACCTAAGAGTTACCATACCGCATGTCTTGTCAAAATCGTAAGACGAACTCAAACTCAAACTCAATCAGTTCCAAAAGACAAAAATTAATTCCAGTCCAGTCCAGTAGAGTTGGATTGGGAATGCAGACCGACAAAGAGATACCCAATCTTTCCTACAACAAGATGAAAACGAGACCTACAAGGTACACGCAATGAACCTATAAATGCAGCACGAATGGTTGTCTCTAGGTGAAGTTTATATCCCACGAGCTTTAAAATGGCCCACATTTGTATTGGTTGGTCACCTGTCTCATTAAAATTTTATCTTAACGTCTTTCAATTAACTCTCCATGATCAAAGTAACCCAGTAAGGTAGGGAAAAGCTACAGATAAAACTTGTACGATGTGCAGTACGGCAATAGGTACAGAAAGGCACTGACTGACTGGTTGTAAGGCGCTACTAGACCGGGGTCATTATTCACGTCGCGAACGTTGTATGCCGTGGACTTCCACGGCATTCAACGCAACGAGGGGTATAGCAGCTAAATAATTCTATAACCTACTTAGACCTTGGATTGCCAAGAGCTTCAGTAAACTCTTTTTTTGAACGAATATCCAAAACGGCATTGCTAGGTTCATATCAAATATGGTTAGGTAGGGGGGGGGGGGGGGTAACATAGCCGACAGTGGAGGTGAGCACTGACGCGTCCTCCCTAAACCTATTCCTGGGTCGCAATTTCCAGGCCCTGTCGAAGTCACATGTGTTGCCTCAATCTATCACGGGATGGACCCGGTACCCACACGGTGAATCTATGGAACGCTAAGAAATAGATCTTTTTCAGTTGCTTATCATAATTTATGCTTAGACTAAGTACAATATAATACTCGTACAGCATTAAATTAGAAGTTATGGGGACATGGATATCCTGTTTCCCGTGGGTTACGGGACGAGGTTTTTAAATTTAAACCGAAAAACCGAGATGTTGAAATCAACAGACTCAACAAAGCACCATATAATAGCTAGTTTGATGCAATAGTTAATAGATAGCTACCTAACCTAAATACACAAACTGAGCGGTATTTCCGCTACAAAACATTTGTTGCAACAACATCCTGGCACTTGTCTTAAAGTGAAGACAGAAAGCGAAAAGATACAGTATTCCTAAGTAAATTAAATGTGCAAAGGAAATGTACAATTGGTACTTGATTAAATTTCTGTTGTATTTTAACAGTTTCTGATGACTGTATAAAGTTCGTAGACTGTTAAAATAAAGTTTATAGGAATTCAATACAATTCAATTTAAACTTAGTTTTAAACTCAGTAATTTATTTTGTTCTTAGTATTCTATTTGTAGAAAATAAAAAGGATCTTGCAATTAAATTTGGCAAATCGATCTAAATGGCGTGCAATAGGAGAGGCCTATGTCCAGCAGTGGACTGCTATAGGCTGATGATGATGATACATAAATGCTTTTCCACTTTGAAGAAGAAAGTATGAAATGAGAAATAATTAAATTATGTTTTGTTGTAAATTTAGTCTCAGTCTATAAAACAAAATGATTATAGTCATCTTAAGTAAGAGGGTCTTGTATTGAATATTAGATAGGATGGCGCCGTATTTGAAACATACCCTATTCCGACCCGTCTGGCCAGCGTGGTATAGTAGGCCAAAACCTCCTTTCTAGGGAGAGGCATATGTCCAGCAGTGGACTGTTATAGGCTGTTGATGATGATGATGATGATGATGTGGCGTCGTATTTAAGTCTACTACGATCCGGTTAAACTCCGAGTTTGTACACGTAGCAACTGCCATCAGACCTCAGCAATCCAAGTACTACTATATGCGATATCGATGTTCTGTAGAAAGACAGTTGGGACTAATCCCACCCACACGCCCACTACTGGAACTCCTGTACACCAGGATCCACAGCATTAACCCACGAAGACACCGAGTTATGACACTCGGGAAGTCCCAGGAAGAAATTAAACTGTCTTGGAACCCGCAACGAAATTAATCAGAAGAAAATTGGGGGAGTTGGAAATACAGTAAATCCACTTCCCTCCTTAGCAAAGCGCGAGACATAATGAAGTAAAATAGTCATACACCCTTTTAAACAGGGAAGCACCACGGCCACAAAATATTACGGGTCCTACGTGAGCTATATTTGATTTCTATAATATGTATGGCAGAATCGCCTAAACGCACGAAAATTCACCCTAGTTGACACAAGATCCCCATAGTATACCGCCCCAGATGTCACCTGCAAGCTATTCAGCATTATGTTACGTTCATTGTACCAAAGACTACATTCCCAGAGGATATGATGAGCAGATTGTTCATAGTGAGAGTTAGGTGTTGAGCATTGACACAATGGTGACTCGAATAATTTAAATGAATACAACTTGCTCTTAAAGTTACCATGACCCGTAAGAAATTGAGCGACACAGTGATCCACCTCAAGCCATGTCCTCGACAACCGTTCGCGAACAGATGGAAAGAATTGGTAAAGATGCCGCCCCTTGGATGATTCGTCCCAGCGTTGCTGCCATTCGTCTATGAGGTCATTATAGACATCGGACTGCTGTTGAAGCAATCTTGTAATTTTACCGCGATCCCGCGCGCTCAAAAAATCGCATTCCATGTTTTGTTGTCTTGAATAGTACATGGCTGCACGTCTCTGCACCTCGAGTTCGACCGGAAGCACACCCGCCAACCCCCAAAAACTTTTTACGGCTTTAACTACCTGTACTGATTGCCAAAGATGTCCGTATGGGAACCGAGAACGACGGTTTCACGTGCTTTCCGAGGCACGGATGGTAATGATATTATTACTATTAAATGAAAATAAAAACGTTCTCTCATTAAACCTAATACTGTTTGAGCCAGTAGGATAAGGCGTTGGCAGCGCGTAGAACGCACCTTGGTTTTGTATAGCGCCGTGGGGAGTACTTCTCGGTCGTTCAACGTGCATTGTGTGAGTTTACTTCGAACTATTCATTGAATATATGGTAAACTAGTTACGTATTACATTTGTACAAAAACAAACAGCATGAAATACGTCACTGAACTGATGAAAACTATTTGTATGAACAGTATTGATTTATTTCTTCAAATAATTATTATCCTTTAGTCCATAAAGGATTATTCTTATTTGAATTTCTAAAATAAGTAAAAAAGTTTAAATATGAATATAAGTAACAACATTGTAGTCCTCTAAATCATATTTTTTTAACGGGGTGGAAAATCCCTTCGGATCTCCTGCTCCTCGGGGCTAGGAGTTAGGAATATGTGGTGATTCCACTAAAAACCACCCCGACGGCCGGCCTCAGATACTCTGGGAGGACCTGGACCATGTTATTTCAGGTCCTCCCAGAATTGACACCATGCCAAGGGAAAAACACTTGGCGGCGCGCGGCCCCGTCGGCGGCTGGTATGGTCGCCGACGTCCTCTACGCTCGGGATCGGCCCTCTCCCGATCCCGTTCAGCGGTCTCTTTCTGGAGCATTACAGCTTCACAGAAAGGGACCACTGCGCCCCATCCCTCCTCACCCAGTTGGAAATGACCTAGTTTGACGGTTTCTCTGAAATACAGATAAGGCAACTACCGTGTTCTCAACAATAACAGGAGCACTCACAGTAACGACATATGATGTAAATTGGAGTTTCTTCATTTTAAGGTATCATTCATTATCAGGTTATTCATCAGGCATTGGGAAACTCGATTGTGGTGGTCGACAGAGAGTGAGAGATCGCTTAAGCTTTATAGCTCGGACGTATTGGCGTTTCTAATTAATATCTGCCCTAAATCAATTTACTTTAATTTTACTAATGAAAGCTTCGTCACAATGAAGTTATTTCACAATAAAGTTTTATATGCCGTGTGGTGACGGATTAAGAATACGTAATGTCACCACCCCTATTCATCCAGTGGGTGTCGTAAAAGTCAACTAAGGGAGAAAACTACGCAAGACAACAGCACTTCAAAGAGAAGGAAAACTTGAAACAAACCCTATACAAACCCTGGCCTGGTCTGGCCAGCGTGGTATAGTAGGCCAAAACCTAATTTCAGAGGAGAGGCCTATGTCCAGCAGTAGAATATCAGAGGTTGTCGATGTGACGTGATGTGAATGAAGTTAAAATGAACTAGCATTATTAGATTTTACATCAAATTAATAGTACTTTATAAATGTTTACTTGCATCAAATGATTGATATGATAATATTATCCATGCTGGCGTTATCAAGCCGAAGTTTGTTTATTTAACTTCCTACGCTAACATCGTGACGTATACCCGACTTGAAGGAAACATATTAAATTTAAATAGTAAATTAATTGAAGAATACTACGCGCTACGTATATTAAGTCAAGTATATTAACTCAGACAAAGTGCCTTAAATTCCCAAGATATTTTATAGCGAATAATAAAGATATGAATAATAAATTAATAAGCGAATATTTTTTATTTAATTATGTATGTATAACTAACTTTTGCCTATGCCCATTCTCAAGGATCAAACTATGTCTATAAAAAATTTCATCTAAATCCATTCAGCGGGTATTGATTCCTCAAACAAACTTACACCCCTCCCCCTTTCACCCTCTTAAAGAATGATTTCTAGGATAAAAACTGTCCAATATCCTATCCTTGGACTGTAACTATCTATATACCAAATTTCATTTAAATCGGTTTAGCTGTTTAAGCGTAAAGAGGTAACAGACAGACAGACAAACAGACACACTTTCTGATTTAAAATATTGGTAGGGTTTAAAGATAAATATGTATTATATATACTTAATGAAGTACCTATACTCGCACACACACTTACTAACACACACAAGCTATGTACTTAATATGTGATGTGTAAACAATGCATAAAAACAAGAATGTATGACACCCCAAACTTGACTATCAATTTGGGAACACTGACACTTACGATATAAGCTCTGACCTAGTTTGGTCGAAGTGTTTCAATTATTCGTAGCAGACTACCTGAACCAATTTAAAAAAGAATTGACTGCTTTTTTTGGTTTTTTTTTTGCCTGATGTTGAAATAGATGAAATTATTTTTATCATGATACTCCTTAAAAAGTAAACATTATAGTTACTATTATCATAAACGTCAATAAATCTGTCAAATGTGAATAAGAACCGGTGTCTTATTAAACATTAAACAGTTAAATTAGACAAAATGTAAAATTATTTTAGAAAAAAAAATCTTGAAAACTCAGGAACAGCTTAAATTAAAATCTCTTTCATTAATTATCTCCTAGTATACCTTCATGCATTTTAACTTCTCCTCAAAAAAGTCACGATTTCTTAGTTTTACATCTTAGATGGGGTCTTCAAAACTTTAAAAAATTACTAAACCGTTCCTTTACATCCATTAGAAACATTCCAGAATACCCGACTTCTGCGACCGTTCCGTAGTTAATTTTACGATCAAGCCGTACAGCACACATTTTCCCTTTCCATCCTAGTACAATAATTGTATAAAATTATATCTCCGCCATTCCTGTGCTAATTTCAATAGTTCTTTTTTATTTCAATAATTGTGGTTTAGATAAGTCCCATTTCAATTAAAATGGGACTAATCTAAGGTTTGAAGAATCCAGCTTATAACAATGTATCAAGATGTAGGCGCATTGAAGTCGATAATGATTTTTAATTTTAGATAATTTTGAATTTCGTTTGTTGCAGCGTGACAAACATATTCCTGGTGAACTTATCGGTAGCGGATCTGCTCGTGACGCTGTTTTGCATGCCGGTGCAGATCGCCAAGTCCGTCACATTGCTCTGGTACTTCGGCGAAGTCATGTGCAAGGCTGTTAACTTCTTACAAGGTAAATATTGCAATGTACTATTAAAACGTATTAATATAAAATATTACGGACTTATGACACCTTTATTTCGGAATTTGGTTTATAGTTTCTATATTCTCAAAAAACACTTCTCCTAATATGAGATAATAACATAGATAACAAATAATTATAGATATTAGTGTCATCTCATGACGAAGCATGAATATACTAAATACAAAACATAACTTAATACAACATAAGGAAGTAAACTAATCATAAATAACAAAAAAAAATGATTTACTTTAATAGAAATGCCAAAAAATACTTAATTTTAAATAAAGACCAAATTATTCTCTCGTTTTTGTTTAAATAATTGAAAGGGAACGTAAAACAATAAAACTGGTCAGCCAATAACGTCACTAGGACAGTCTCAGTAATAATAATCTCACTAACATTTTTTTTAAACGTTTCAATTATTATATAGTGTGATCGTAATGAATTGGAAATATAAGTGAGTAGGTGTAACCTAGCGAGCATAGTGACCATTGTTTTTTGAATATTAGGCGTGTTTATGAAACGGGGTGGCGGCGAGCGCGCTGCGAAGCGCGCTTGCCTCCAGGGAGCACAGGGAACATGGGGTTCCCACACGGGGGGGGGTCGTCTACTCGTCTGTAGATGACCCGAGGTATGTCGGGGCACCAGGGACTTCCTTTCTAGGGTATACCTGGTTCCCCGGCTATTAGTACCCGAGACGGCGTGCGGTTTTAGTCGGTTCGAGTCCAACATGCCACCGGTGGTATCCAAGGGGATTTCCGCACGGAAAAAAAACAAAAAAAAAAAGACTGCTATGTAGCTAAAACAATTTGATGGATTTTGGCGTTTGAGGTGTCGTTAAATACGTCTTAATTGTGAGAGTAATATTAAGTGTATGAAAATTATAAAAATTAAAATCATTGGTTTGTAAATTTTAAGTATACAATAGTTTTATTTCTTTGTAATCTAACAACACTCACTTTGAGCTTTAGACCACTTAAATTGGCTGGGTTGCAGGGAAGCTGGTTGTAAAAATTCAACTTAAATTGAAAGCTGTGAAATTTTAAAAACATATTTAGTTATTTGCAACTAATTTAAACTAATCGTCTGGTGTAAACAAAACGTTGAGCTTTCGCCGTAAACGTGAAGACGGGCGATTACTTTAATCGTTCTAAATGCCAATCAATGTTTCAACTTTGCACGTGTAAGTGCCTATTAAACAGGATTTATAATGCCTTGTAGGAAACGTTTTAATGTTACTCTTTGCTTCTATTTTCCAGTTTGTTGAAAAGCATATTTCATTTGCCATACCTTATCCACGCTATCGGATTGTGTTTTATTGTGTTCTATTATTGGAGACAGTATATTTTATTGTACAGAAATATTTTACAAAAACTTGAGACGAAAGCTATTTTATCACAACTCGGAGTTGTTATTACATATTTACATATTTCTGCTAAATTTATGATTTTTGGCAGGTGTAGCGGTTGCTTCAAGCGTGTTCACCATCACAGCAATGTCGGTGGACAGGTACCTTGCCATCACACAGTCACTTCGCCAACCCTGGCTTCCTTCAAGGCGAGGAGCCTGCGGTCTTCTAGCGGGGCTATGGCTGATCGCCTTTGCGATATTTGCACCATTGTTAGCAGTGGCGACAGTGGAGAGAGAGTATGTACCTTCATTCTCCAGGATCAGGAATATAACGGTATTTTTTTAATTTTATATGACATTTTGCTAAAAGTAGCTAAAAGGGTCCGTGTGGTGACGGATTAAGAATACAGAGTGTCACCACCCCTATTCATCCCGTGGGTGTCGTAAGAGCCGACTAAGGGAAAAAACTACGCAGAACAACAGCACTGCAGAGAGAAGGAAAACGTGACACAAACCCTATACCATCCCGTCTGGCCAGCGTGGTATAGTAGGCCAAAACCTCCTTTTTAAGGAGAGGCTTATGTCCAGCAGTGGACTATTAAAGGCTGTTGATGATTCCTAAAAGTAGTTCTATACGACAGGGTGAAATAAAGATACGACCGGTAACCATACTCTACTAAGGATCCGATATAACTTGTGATGATACTTAAGACATGATGATAGCTTATATAAAATTTAAAGTTTACATTTTAAAACGACATAACTATTAAAGTTTGAAAATTTGAAACTGTTTCCTTGATACAATTTTTATTGCACCATCGTATACATGACAATTCTCGTTCTAATAGCAGGGCCATAGTTGACAGCAATTAAAGAATCATCATTTCCATAATTACTCTACTCTACTAAAATCAATATCTGCTGCTGGTGATCTTCTCTTTTTAACACACCAGGCACATTCGATCGAGACCAAAGGAGAGGCTTGTGCGGTTGGTTTGGACATAGCGAAGGCCTTCGATCGGGTCTCTCACAAGGCGACCGACCCGATTCGTCGATAGCCCAAACATCTCCGATGCCTTGGCGTTGCGTAGAGATGTGGCTTCACTCTGCATTCTCTTTGTTTCTCTGCGTTCTCTTTGTCAATTTTTCGGACTAATACTAGCTGCAACTTTCCACCATCGTTTATGACTCCTCAGTTGCAGACGTTCGTGGGCGGCAATGGTCACTTTCCATCAGGTGACCCGTCTGCTCGTCTGACCCTCAAACATAAAAACAAAAATATATGACCAAAAGGCTTCAATGTGAAATGTGAAAAAAAAAGTGGAGAATTACATTCCTACAATTGGCATACTGGTACATACACGTGAAAAAGGTTTTCACCTGTAAGTACCAAACTTATTATATAAGCAATGGCCAAACTTGCTTTCATATCAAAGCAGATCCGCAGAGTACCATTAAGGAGTGTTAACACCCTACTAAAGTTCCAGTGACTTGAGTAAACTAGCATTGAGAGATAGTTCCACTATATTATCAGATATTTCAAAGTTTGAAAAGCTTATGCGGTAAGTATATTAAGCTGAGTTATTAAAACTGATTAAGAATTAACTATGATAAGTATCTTAAAAGGTATTGGAGATGTTTTAATAAGTACTTAATAAAATACAATTATTATTATACTAAATAATTTTTATCTTCAAATACTTTTGTTTATGTACTTGGCACGTATTTTACGTCATGTTTCGATTTAGTTACCAATTAAAAGTTATAAATATCATAACAGGATATCTTTAAATTCAATTTATCCGTTCCGTTAATCAAATTCTGATTGTAAACAATTATATATTGGATTTGGCTTCCGAGAAAACTAATTACTATTACTGCTAATTGAATACAAAACTAGTTATTTATTTTATTACATTTAGTCCGTGTAGTGACGGATTAAGAATACGGAATGTCACTAACCCAATTCCACCCGTGGGTGTCGCAAGAGCCGACTAAGAGCGCAAAACAACGCAGGACACCAGCACTGTAAAAAGAAGGAAAACTTGACACAAACCCTATCCCTATCGTGTTCCACAATATATAATTATACACAATATATAATTATACGGAAATCAACTCTTTCACGATAAGTGTAGTACACACCTTTCAATAGCCAGATTCTGCCTGTGATCTCGACAATCTGGAGATAACGACAATAGGTATTAAGGACCTTATGCTCAATACTTGTAGTGACTGCGTAAATTTTCGTAAGCATAATTAGGTATCATAATACTTAGACAGCCTTTAATAGTCCACTGCTGGATATAGGCCTCTCCTAAGAAAGAAGGCTTTGGCCTACTATACCACGCTGGCCAGACGGGTTTGTATAGGCATTTTTTCAAGTTGTCCTTCTTTTTGCAGTGCTGTTGTTCTGGGTAGTTTGGTCCCTTAGTCGACTCTTACGACGAACGATGACGAATAGGGGTGGCAACACCTCGTATTCTTAATCCGTCCCATACGGACGGAAAGATAAATCAACAAAACTATTATTTTATGTTGCGAAGGTTCTTATGACAGGAGTTTGTCAAGAAACAAGTCCAATCAATTTCAATTAGCTTGCACGACGTAAGTTCGTAAGTGAGGTGAGTGTCTCCAGTGACAAGTTATATAGACAAATTAAAGGTATAAATATAAAATGAGAATTACATTTGTTAAGTTTGGATGGTTTCGTAATTGTTTAGGTAGCTATACGGGAATGATACGAGTACCGCAATGTTAAGAAAGTTAGTAAAGGAATCTATTTTTAGGTAGATAAATAGGTTTAATTATAAATTGTACACCATTAGTACAATGAAGTGTCATTCATACAGTCAGACAGAGAGCCGCAAAACAGATGATAAACAAAAGGCCGCCTTATACCTAAATACAGGATGTATTTAGAGAACTGAATGGATTGATTTGATTGGGAGAGACAATTGTAGTAGAAAATGTAGATGCATGGGGGGGGGGGGGGGGTTACATTAAAGATGCTGGCACATTTGTGTCTCTTGAGATACCCCCTATACCGTACTAGTTATTTAAAACTCAAAGAGCGAACTAGAAGTTCAATTTGTGCTTTACACAGTTTCAGTAGCAAGCAGCGAGGTGACTAAAACCACTAAGCTATCCATGCATTTATTCTGTATCATCATCATCATCATCAACAACCTATACTAGTCCACTGCTGGACATAGGCCTCTCCTTAGAAAGGAGGTTATTCTGTATACTTGACTAATTTTACTATATACCAATAGAAAACATTGAGTATAATATAAGCAATTGATTATGCATAATATGACCACACACAAGGCGGGAATACGAGACTACAACTACAAAATACCGCTGAAATTTTTATTAACACATAAGTCCATAAGTATTATTACACAACTACAACTGGTCTATTACTAAACACACACACACAAGTTGAATGTGTGTATATCTGAAAATATGTATGTTGAAGCCGCTTTCAAATATTTGTAATGAATCAAATCAATAAAATATAATTCATTCAGAGTCAGTCGTAATGAACAGCTTGTTTGTTATGTATGTGTAATGTATAATACTCTATTTAATCCTACAACCCCTTTCTACTTAAAGAAGCGATTCGCATTTATTTATATATTTGCCCTTTTATTCTGAATTGTTTCTATTTTCTGTAATAAATGTTGTTATAATAGGTCCCTTAATTCAGTGTGCGTCTTGGCAAAAGGCTTAGCTCCTTCCACTGGTTTCTGTCACAAGCCACTCTGATCCAATTGGGGCCCGCCGTATGTTTGAGCTCATCTTCCCATCTTCTTTTCTGTTTCCCCTTACTACGTTTACTGTCCCCTGGCACACATACTCGATACTTGAGATCATCGGAAACTTTGACCATAGAAATTCCAACACACTCCACAACTTTTACCGATACGTCTTTTACGGTGAAAGCAGCACGCCTCTGTAATTCATTACCGGAAGCTATTTAGGCAGGCAAAGTCAATAGGTACTTTTAAATAACTCGTTAAGGATCACTATTGTCTCGGTAATAACTATGTGCTATATTGGTATGTGTATGTATGTATTCATATTTATATATTATGTATGTAACATACGGAAATTGTAAATGCGCACCACACGCTACATATTGCTATATAGTAAAGTCCATCTAAAGGTTGCCTGGAAGAGATCGCAGTCTTGTATCACTGTTTTTTTCTTGTATGTATCATCGCATGTATCCTGTATGTTGTGCTAAAAGGGTTCCTATCTATCTATCTATCTACATTTTAGCTATAATATTTATGTACATACTCGTATTTAGAAATATATAAGTATGTTTATCATCAGTCTGGTTACTATAGTACAAATTCTGCTTGCCGTAGTCGGCTTGCCGTGTATGGGATGTGTTATTTGATTTTTAAGTCCAAAAGTTTATCTTTATCAAACATAATAAAATTAGCTTTAGTAGAAGGTCGTTTGTACGTTAACAAATACATAGCTCTTGGCTAATCATCATCAACAGCCTTTAACAGTAGACTGCTGGACATAAGTCTCTCCTTAGAAAGGAGGCTTTGGCATACTATACCACGCTGGCCAGACGGGTTGGTATAGGGTTTGTGTCAAGTTTTGCTTCTCTCTGCAGTGCTGCTCTTCTGCGTAGTTTTCTCCCTTAGTCGGCTCTTACAACACCCACGGGATGAACAGGGGTGGTGACACCGTGTATTCTTAATCGTTTATGTTTAATGTTTGATAATAACAATTTAAGAGTATAAAAAATCTTGTTAAAAGTAACGAATATTGTATTTTAAAATCTAAATCATATTTACTTTCCTGGGGATCGTTTCACCATTTCGTCATGATCGTGGAATAATGCCGTTCTTGAAAAAAATACGATATTCAGTTTTTGCCATGAAAAATTAACAGTAACAAGTAACAATATTAAGGCAATGTAGTATCTAAATGGATACTACATTGTCTTAATATTGTTACTACATTTAAAAAAAGTTATATGTATTTTAAATTTTTCAGTGTTTGTTTGATACACTTGTATGCCAATTTTCATAATTACAGATTTATAATTTAAAAAGTTATCAAAAAAAATAACATAATTATTTGAAGATTGGATTTCAATTATATAGGGCAGTCTGTAAAGTTTAATAAATGTCAGATCCGACACTATTCTACGACTATGACGATTTATCTCAACAATTGTAAACTACTATTATTTCTTTGGATGCGGGCAGCACAGCACCGGTTGTTGTAGTTATGGGGGAGGCATGGCAAGCAGTGGACGTCTTTCGGCTGAGATGATGATGATTATTCCCTTACTTATGGAAA